GCTGTATACTTACCAAGATTGGTAAATACATATTCGGTAACATTTTTTGGTAGAAAAATAGTTAATAATTTATGTCCATTTTGATTTTCACAATAAATTTGCCAACGATCGAAGTCTGTTCTAATTATGTCATTTTCTTTAACATTTATTTGCCATTTTACCTGAAACGAAATTTTAGTAGCGCAAGTGGATTCGTTTGAAGGAAACAAGAGAAATATACCAACCTTTACAACTGAAGCGTTTACTATCAACACTTGTACATCCACGACATTTTTTATAACAAATTGATTAGGGTCGGCAGATGGCAAGGTCAGGGTAGTCCATTCTAATTGTGATTCACTCACATTAGGCCAACCTTGCTTTGTTTTCGCTAGCACTCGTAAATCGTATTGTGCCCCGGGTATCAAATCTTTAAGTACACGGATATATAAAACAATTTTCAAATACTTACAATCAGCTCACCATTCCAAAGTAATGAAATACAAAGCACGCATACCAGAAAGTTCGTAGGATTCGATGGTAGCTGGTAAATGAAGAACCCGAGATGAAGGATGATCATGTACTCTGTACTGCAATTTATATTGTACCACCACACCACGAGACTCCTTTTTAGTCAGTGGCTCCCATGATACATTCAACCTTGTACTACTAAGTATATTCACTTTTACTTTGGGTGCACCTTTAGGAACTAAATGAAGAATTCGAAATATAATCATCTCCAATTGTTATCCAAAGATGTTAAGGGAGTTCTATACGTCACTAGTCGAAACGATGTATAATTTAAATTTGTTCGACTTCCTTTGTACAAGCACTAGATCTGGCAAAATTATGTAGGATCCGTACCTTCTCCATATGTCGCTAAGGCATCGCAAGACAACAGAACCAATGTCGCAATTTTTATTATATCGTATAGACAAAAATATGTAGAAAGAGGCTTTAAGTAAGAAACACCAGGCAAACTCCTTGCTATTTAGATTCATCCAGTCCAACGCCTGTCCGACCAAATTCCAATGAAACCCTGAGTACCAATTTGCATTTATCAAATATTTCTGATCGCTATTAGAATTCTTTCATTCTCTCCCTGAGAGAAATGTATAAT